CGTCTACTTCACGCGCCACAAAATTACGCGCTCGCCCAGAACCCAACGCAATCTGACTGAAGGAGACTAATGTGCTTGGATGTTGGGCTGCCGAGTAATAGCCTCCGTATAGGCACTCAATGACTTCTGTAGCTCTTCGACCTTCGTACGTAGCGCGACAATCCTGCACAAAAGCAATACTCCACTCCAGATCGTTAGGAAAACAGAAGCCGTCATACTGGACTACACCATTTCTCGGCCACACAAAAGCAGCTCACGATTGACTTTAGATAGTATGAGCAATCGATTTAGTTTTCGGATGGACTAGCATCCACTTCGAATAGTTTTTAAGACTTAAAAATCCGTGCCGCTCTCACTAAACCGCCAACTTCCAGCTAATTGAAGAAATATTAGTGCAAAACCAAAGCGATCAGGCAGATCAGTGACTCCCCGAAGATTCAGAATAGGTCGGCACGCTGCATGAACTCACTCTTTTTCATTCACTAGTATAGAGCATTTGGCAATCTCAAGATCCTGATCAGTGGGAGAGGACGAGTCAAGCTTCTTCTGTTGTGTGAGCTGTCCTCTAGTTAGGTCAATCAGCCGACAATTAGCATGCCACAGCTCCTCTGAGGGAAAAGGCAGATCAACCACCATCCAATCTACTCACCTACTCATCATACTCAGTCAAGGATGAGGAGCATCCTTATATGGTCCCCTATCTTGACACATCCCACAGATGGGCGGGATAAGCCCTCAAACTCAATCGCGCTAGAGTGTCTAGTATTACTCCGCTGTAAGTCCTTCAGCTGACTATCCTCCCGCCGCCGCTTCAGAAGATCTATCACATGAGCCATCTTCGACTCCAAGGCCGCTTGACGTGCCATGACCCTAACACTCACGAGTATACTAACAGCAGTAGACGACTGGGCCCCCCTCCTACGCCTGTTGCCGCTTCGTCAACCGCATGGTGAGAAGTACCGTCTCACCCACCTCCTCCTCAAGTACCGACAGACGGTTGATCAACGCCTTCTGTCGCTCCTCATAGGAGGCCTGCAGCTCCCGTAGTAGACCAGCTACCCGCAGAGTCTGCCGTATCTTAGCATGGGCTTCCGCCACACGCTCCATCACAACAGACGAATCACCACCGACTAACCGCTTTGAACCTATACACACTATATACCGAGAACTGAGCATCAATACCGGAGTATCAATACTCTGTTCATAACATATTCAAAGTAGTCATCACCTCACCCCGCTTACTACCTCCTGATACGCCTTCCAAGAGGCGTGCCCACTCAGCGGCTGATTCCGGAGTATCTGTTGATGAAGATCCATGGACCGAGTTCGACATGATCAAGGAACTGCAACAGCCGTTCGCCCGACAGCGAATAACATAACACTAGCGACACTGTATGTGACTAGTCAATAGGTTATGGCGAAAACCCCATTAAGGGACATGGCAGTACAGCAGCACGTTACATAGGTTCTCGAACTTCTACATTGTAGAACTATCTACAAGCACCTCACCTTCTCCTCCAGCATTCTACTAAGCGCCCTATCTTACACAGTTTCATTTGTCGACTAATATAGCGAATGGTCATATAACTTCTCAACTATCGAGTATATCGAGACTGTACCACTGCCGCTGCTCATTTGCTCACCACTGCCCACCGAGGGCATGGGCCCGCCTTCCTGCCCAACCGAAGTTCATTGCCTATATTCTATACTCGACCAAAGAGCACCCCAGCGATGAAAATTCATATCAGCGATTGCTGCATTGCCACACATTCGTTGCATGCCAACAACTACCATGCTACCAATAGCGTGGGATTTCTCTCTGGAATTCTAACTACAGGGTGCCAGCATATACAACTCATGGCTGGCGCCTACTACATTGCTTATGAAATGTTGGACAGGAATCGCCCAGCCGGATGGGTATTGCCAGCTTAGGACTTCAGTAGTAGCTACAACCCTCCTCATCCCAACTAACCCCGCCCCCCCACCACCAAGGGACCCCATAGGCCATTCGCAGTGAACACGGCATCCTATGACAGCCCGTAATCGGAGCTCTGATCGTAAGCATTCCTGTCTTGTCCGAAAATGTATACCAAATTCGGCCCAAATCGCCCTTGATCAAAATAGTACAGCGAACTGCAAGCTGATCTAAGTACCGCACTCTAGAGCGACAACTGATCCGTATCGACGTCTACTTTCCAACAGAGGGGCGTCACTACTCAATAAA